TCTCTTTTTTAATTACGATATATATATCATGTGATGCAGCAGAATCTGTACTTTCTTGCGATATAGTCATTATTAAAAAAAGATCAAACTTTAATGGTTAAAAGTAAAAAATACAAAGGGGGTAAATTCTATTGAGCTTCACTGTATATCATAGTAGGAGAGTTATATAATACTTTAACATCATTCAATCATAAGCAATTGATAAGTTTAATTCTAACACTTATCGAAACGCGTCTTGTTAGCTATTGATTGATATTACTTCAATCATTCTACTAAACACATCCACACCCACCCACCCTTTCTTTCCTATCAAATATAAAATGATTTCTAATTTTGAACAGAACCATAAGTGCTGATATAATATTAAGAATTTCACCTGATGAATCCCGCCAAGACAGTAACAACCGTTGCCGTGGATCGGCGATTATTCTAACTCGCACCCAAATTGTGTTTAGAAATCATTGATATTTATTTATTTAAAATTTTCATTTTATAATAGTCATTGATTTCTGTATTCGACTAAGAATATAGTTATAGTTAATACTATTATTGAAAATTTATATGTGCAAATGTTCAAAATAAAATTTTAATTATTATATCGAAATATGTAATTTCATGTATTATACCTTATCTGAATTACATTATCTAAGTAGATATAATATTAAGAATTCCACCTGATGAAGTCCCACCAAGACAGAAGCAACCGTTGTCGTGGATCGGCGATTATTCTAACCCACACCCACACCCTTTCTGCTATTGAAGACTTTTTATCATTGTGTTGTCCTTTTACGGTGACGATACTATCGGTTTTTTCGTTTCCCAATAAAATATGAAAGGCCTATTGATAACCATACCAAATATATGAATAAAGTTTGAATCAACTTAAATACAGAGTTATACAGAGCAATTTCCAAGTGTTACGGATCTTTTTGCCATCACTACACCATGTGGAAAAAAACATTCGAAATGATTCAAATCTTCATGATAACATCTTCATTATCAGTGTCAATGTGGGTAGATCTCGGTTTGGATGTGGCAAGCAAATCGCGACATAGTGTCACCTTCCTTAAGACTCTACTCACATCGTTTTGACTTAATACCTATCCGAAAGACGAGGTGCATCTGGGTGTAGGTCCTCTCTGTAACGAATACATTGGCCATACACTCATCGTTATGAGAGGTCGCTCTCTGTATCATCATTTTCTTCTTGCTGCTGTTCCTTTTCGCTTTCGCTTTCTCATGCACATAGAAATATCACTGGTCGAGTATTTTACCAGCCATTCTTGGCTCGATCTCCCTCACTTCTCTTCTCCTCACATGTTTGTGTTATGTTTCGTTCGTGAATATATAAAAGAATAAACCACACATAACCTCAACCTATAATAGTCTCTTCATACATATTAGACTCGCCCAACCGCACACACGGCAACAACCCACATCACCGCTATTGGTTTGCTGTTAAGTTTGATTGGGTATGCTTCATTTGAAACTTTCATTAACAATAATTAGTTCGATGATGGACAATGAAATATTGCCGACTCAACATGAAATGGATCAACTTCAACAACATCAGCACCGACAACAAGCACTGTCCAATGTTTTCCATTCAGGAAGCATCAATATTGGACATGGAACCAAGAGTCGTGCTGGATTAGGTGCAAGTAAAACTAGTCAAAATAGCAATCCCAGTGACGCCGGTAACTGAAAGGTCGGAGATACTTGACCATGAATGTAAGATGTTGTCATCAAGGAACTTCTTTGTAAGACTTTGCATTGAATCATAAGTACGCTATAGAGGCTCCGTGAAAGTTTTTCAAGCATTCGTAAAGATAGAAGCTGCCTATTTTTTTTTCAAATGTATTAACATCTCTGTGGAACATCATAGTCTGTTAGAAGGCTCTAGAAGACATGAGAAGAGAGTTTTTTCTTATATTTCAGATTCGTTGATTATGTTATCACTAATTTAAATATATCGTACGATATGGGCATGAGAATAAAAGGATCCAATTTAGCAGAAGCCGAACGGTATCTTCAAGCAGCTGGTTCAGATTGCAAACATACTCATGTGAATGGATCAAAGAAATTCTCCACTGTTAATGATGCTGAATCATACATCGATACATTATCAGTTGCGTGGAATTTGAATTCAAATAAGATGAACAGAATTTTCATTGCTGAAATAAAAGCTCAATGTCAACTTGTGGGTTCTGGTGAATGTGATCATTGGCATAATGAGTTTACTCAGGGGGCGCAAAGAGGAAGCGGAAAATATGTATTGGTTCACATTATGGTGACTGATTCTCGATCAATAAGGGTGAGTTATACCCAACATGAGATCAGTTTAACATTGGGAAATAGTCAGACCTATTCAACATGCGCCGAAGCCGCTATGAAAGACTGGTTAAAATTGAAAGCAATGGAAAACCTTCGCGAAATGGTTGCAGAACGTGAGCTTCCATCGATAATTTACGAATAACTTATTGTCAATTTTGCCGATTTATTTTTGTGTCTGTTGACACTAAACTAGTCTGTATGTGTGTGAAAATGGTTTTCTTGCTTGTAAGCCTTTTGTTCAAATTTATTGAAAATACATTTTATACGAATATAATGAAAGTTTGTGGTCGATTCACGACTGAGCGCGCACATCTGCATGTGAGATCGTGATCCGGTCATTGAGACGTTTGAGGGTGTTGAGTGATTTTTGAGTGAGTATCGGAATCCATTTAATACGGTCGGTGTTTTTGTTTTCACCTTAACACATTGCATGCGATTTGATCCAATAGATTGGCGATGTGACCCACCGATCGGTAACGTCGCCGCCAGCGTGTTAAAACTTTCTGAACTCACTGTTAGACAGCTCTCAGTTCACTCTCTACCCGCCGTAAAAATCAGGCTCCTACACCGATATATGGAATTTTAGCAATTTTTTCTCGTCAAAATAACCTAGTTTTTGAGGTTAAAAAGAGGTGCACTTCCACTTATTTCTTCCCTCATCCCATTTCTATTCTTATCTGACTTGATATATAACATATACCATTCGACAGAAAAAAGAACGCGCTACATGATGGAGTACTTTTTATCCAAAACACAACTCGAGAAAGGTGTAAAATTTAAGAAATACTCATATGCTGTTATAGATCTTTAGTAAATCTCGTTTTTCTTCACCATAATAACATCAAAATTAACTTTCAAATAAATCATTGGAAAGAGCGTTTAAAACTGCATAAGCACGACTCTACGATGAATTTCTGAAACCAATGTATTACATTGGAAGCGATCTTGATTCATAGATTGACCGCAATGGGACCCACAGGGGGGTCTCATCGCTGTGAATGTGTTAACTTGGAGAGTTTTGACTTATGTAATATTAGAACTCTAAAGATATCCCACGAGTCCCTTGCGAAAGGAGCAAATTGGTCGTGTCAATCCTCTGAACTCTATAATCTTTATTTCTAATTTTGGAATTATTACGAAAAACTTCTTAACTTCTTCAAATTATTACAGAGATTTGAATTTCTATGTAATAGAAGATTGTAAACATGTTTGAGGAGTCCCTTAAGCAAGGACGAAACTAGTCGTGTGATGCTTTGAATTTAAAATCTTATCTCCTATTTTACTGAAAATATTTGATAGGAATTATTATGGATTGAGTCTTAACTTCTCAGTATATCTGATCGAGTTCTGATTCTATATGTAATAATAAATTCTCAACATGCCCGTAGAGTCCCTTAAGCAAGGACGAAACTAGTCGTGTGGTGCTTTGAATTTAAAATCTTATCTCCTATTTTACTGGATTTTGTTATTACGAATTAATTTTAAACTACTTCAAAATACTGGAGAGTTTGAAATTCTTATGTAATAATAGATTGTAAACATGCCTGATGAAGATCAGATTCAGCCCTGATCGAAACGCGTCGTGTGGTGCTCCCAATCTCAAAAACTCTTTTATAATAAAATTATTAAGTTATATCTTTCTTTATTTAACTATGCCTAAGCCATAACTTCTTCAACTTTTTGGATGAGTTTTGACTTATATATAGTTCTTCTGAAATTCTAAACATACCTGAGGAGGACCCTTAAGCAAGGTCGAAATCCGGATCGTGTGATGCTCTGAATTTCATTTCTTTATTTTAAAATTATTGTGTGATGCTCTGAATTTCGAGTCTTGAGTTCTTTATTATATGAATTATATTCAGTCTTTTATATAATTATGTTTTAGCCATAACTTCTTCAAAATTTGGATGAGTTATGACTTCCATGTAATTATGAAGTTCTAAACATGCCTGACGAGTCCCTTAAGCAAGGACGAAACGCGTCGTGTGATGCTCTGAATTTCGAGTCTTGAGTTCTTTATTATATGAATATATGTTCTACAGGTCAAAAAACCCAAAGGTCAAATCAAAATACCTAGTTTATTCGAGTATATGATCGAGACTAGGGAAATATCGGAAAAAATAGGAAACATTCTAATATATTTCAATATATGTTGTACAGGTGAAAAAAAGAAAGGATGAAATAGA